AAAACCTGCCAAAAAAAAAAAAAAAAAAAGATTTTCTGGATCCTACAAAATATCTTATTTGGTTTAGATAGAAGGAAACAGCCCATTCCAGAAATAATAAAGGAGCCTCAAATTATGCTGAATAACAAAAAGAGCGTTAACTACAAAACTCCCCCCTTGTTAGTTTTCTTACTGTTGAGTTTTTTTAAAAAAACAACTTTATTAGGGTATAATTTACATACCCTAAAATTCGCCCATTTTAAGAGACATCAAGCTCCCTTCTCAGTGCTGTCTATAGAGGTGACGGCCATCCTCAGACCTTGCGTGAAACCCAAGATTGTCAAAAAGAGGACCAAAAAGCGCATCTGGCACCGGGCAGACCAACATGTCAAAATTAAGCGTACCTGGTGGAAAACCAGAGGTACCGACAACAGGATGTGGAGGAGATTCAAGGGCCAGATCTTTTTTTTTTTTTTTTTAATTGCACGAGAACTTTATTTGCAGGGGGGAGGAGGAGGAGGATGAACAGTGTTCAGCTGCGAGGACTCACCCCTACTTAACCAATTTACAAAAGTGTATGTCGCATAGGACAAGCTGGCAAGGGACAGTGCTCAAGAATGGAATGACACCAAGCATACCAGTCCTGGGCAAAAGTGCACCTTTTGTTTCTGGGAGGACTGGAGCTTCTGGGAACAAGACCAGCCTGTTTTTGTACCAAACGCTGCAGTCCCTTGGGTTTTCAGAATGCAAACGGATGGCAGCCACTTGTCATTGGGACTTCCCCATCCTTAGGGGACACGGCCTGCTGGGCCGAGCTGCTGCCACTGCAGGCTCTCACTCTGCACTCCAACACTCGGGTTCCAAAATCCGGCAGACGCCCGGCTCTGGACTCAGCCACTGGTGAGCACTTGCTAACCTGTGTGCACACAGCGGTCAGGGCCACAGTAACCCAAGAACGCTCATCTGGCAATGGGCGGTGAGGGAAGGGCGGGCCCTTGATGCCCAACGTGGGTGACAAGAGCAACGAGACAAAGCACATGCTGGCCGGGCTTCCGGAAGCCCCTGGGCCACAGCGTCGGAGCTGGGAGCGCCGCTGATGGGCAGTAAGTCTTCCTGTGCTGAGATGGATCACGACGTTTCCTCCAAGACCCGCAAGGCCATGGGGGACAGCGCAGCCCAGCTGGCCATCGCCCCCACCAATCCCCACGCCGGGCTGCGCAGCAAGAAAACCAGTGGACAGCTGGGATGCGGGTCTTACCTGTGTCTACGGAAAAACGCAACCGCCCCTCTCCAAAAAACGAAAACGCATCCAGAAAGCCTTGGCGTATCTCCGCCCCTCGTCTCTGGGGACTGCTCAGAGGCCAAAGGGCCCACGGAGCCCCCTCACTGCCCATTTCTAGTACACCCGGGAACCGCAGACCGCCGGGGACCTGGGGGCTTCTGCAACGGCCAGCCCCTTGCCTTCTCCGGGTGCTCCCCCTTAAAGCCTCGCTTTTTTCTCTATATTAAAGGACGTTGCAAACATAGTCTAAAGTAGAGAGAATAGTGTAAAAATCTCCGGGTAGCAGCACCCGGCCTCAGGAAGGATCAACTCGCTCCGTAGCGACTGAAAAATATACTAACAGCTTCGAGTAACTTGAGGCCTCGTTTGAGGGTTAGAGGCGCTCCTGCAGTCACCAGCTGCAGCTGACGGGTCCCCAACGCCCTGCAGGAGCCCACGCGCCCCGGAAGCTGGGGACAGAGACGGGCCCCTGTTCTTCCCGGTGAGTCGGTCCCCGCTGGGGCCTGATCCAATGCCCGGCGGCCCTCTGTGGGGCTGCTCGCGGCCCGGGGCGAGGGTGGCCGCCTGGCAGCAGCGGCGGGCA